GTTTAAACATTCAGATTATGCTATCTAGATAAAAGATTAAAATCTTCTCTCATGATTAATGGTTACTATGGTACATTATACCAACGAAAATTAAACAAACGGTAAGTAAGGAAACATAAATTAATGAATATTAAAATCAAATAAAATCGAAAATAGTTTTACTGCACAAAATATGAAAAAAAAAATAACTTATTCTAAATTTGGGATCATTATAATTTAAAATATATCCATATATGTATATCAAAATAAGGAAAATGCAATGTTTATTTTGATAACACGTAACAACCTTGATATTAAGAAATAATTTTAATAAAAATCATACAAATTTTTAAATAACAAACATTCATACCAAATATTTAAACAACAAAAATATTATATGTACGTAACTATGAAAGTCTGTAACGTAAATGTAAAAAAAATGTAATTACGTTACGTCTTATATTATGACGTAAAAATAAATAATAAAAAAAAACTGTAAAACAAAAAACTAAGCAATTATTATAACCAGTTGATGTTTTTAGTGCGAGCCGAAAACGCGCTGCGCGGCGTTTGGTGGCATTACGTAATTTTCAAACAAAGCATTTAAGACAATTAATAGTCATAAAGGGAGTTTTGGAGAAATGGATTAAATACGTGTGAGACATAACATTTTTATGTGATGATTACATTGGAGATGAGGGTCGCGACCAGGACTTTAAACGGTTTAATGGAGTTCCGGGACATCTTCCTGTTTGGCTAATTATAAACAATAGGGTTGACAGATCGTATTAAAGAATAGAAAAAAAATATATATAGTTACTTTGATTATCGTGAAAAATTATCTTTATTTAGGAAGATTCATAGCAAACTATGATTTAAAAAAATTTAATAAATTTTAATAGAACTATAAATGTCTTTAGCAGGTATATTTTCCCGTTTCATTTGAAGTAATGTTCATATACATTAACCACATTATCAATGAACATATGACGGAAGAATCATCTATATCATAAATATCGTGACAACCCTTGCGGCAGCTGTCCGAGCGGCAACCTTTTATGTATTTATATGGATGCAGCAATCCTAATTGACGCTACCATTTAACACAGCACGTCATAAAACCGCTTCGAATGACGCTGAAAACATTCTAAGGACTAATGCCAGTTAATAAAACAACTGAATCATTTGAAGATCTCATAGAACTTTGATACTTATGAGATCTTCTGGCTATATTATATGAAAAAGAGTTCTGGCTATATTATATGAGAGACAATTCTGGCTATATTATATGAAAAAGCTAATTATAGAGGACAGGAGAGGAAAAGGTTTGAAGGATGTAATGAGATCTAAAAGATTTATGAAAGAAGACATATTACGACGAGTACGAATGTCGAAAGAGAAGTGTCCACAGAATAATGTGACACTAGGGTGAGTGAGTTTATAATAAATTACTCAGTTTATTTCTTTGGATTGTGATTAGACAATGGATAAATTATCATTTGGAATATAGGGTCTCCTGCCATCAATTCTTCTGTTAGACTTAGCGTTTATTTCGTTTCGTGGCTGACGCAAAATTTTCGAGACATTTGAGTGCTAAAATGTTATTTTTAAAGATGACAAGTAAATTAAATTTAATGAGTTCTAAGATAATGAGATCTAAGATTTTTGCGAGTACTCATTTAAATGAAACTAATATTTTTCGGATTTTACTTCGCGTTTTATTTTTGATTAGAAAACTACATACTCCCGACGTTTCGGCTACTTTTCAGTAACCGTGATCACGGGCAGACGAGATGTGAGTGTCTGTCAGTTGGTCTGGTTGTTTTATCTCCTACCGCCATCGATTTCTTAATTGTTTTGCGTACCGCTCTGGATGCCGGCAAAATGCGCTCAATTAAATTTTGCTATATTATATAAGTGTTTCTATTCAATTATAATATACATTGAAATGGCGCATTAATATCAACTCAAATATTCAGAAAACCAAACTAAACGTATAAGCAAAAAAATTTCGAGACTAATAATATCTAATAATAACTATATAATAAAATTAAATAAATTAAAAACCGGTGTAAACGTTATTGACGCAGCATTGTTTGAGTGTGTCGCCGATCTCCGGTTGAATTCCGTTATGTTCTTAGCGAATCGGATCTCACTATTACGGTAACGGGTGTTACGATATTGTCCCAACACTTTGTTTTAGGGAAAAAAGCATTTACGTCATATAAATATGTCGTTTTATATGTTCATATATACACATATATATATTTACTAGTTCATACTACAAACCAATCGAGTTACGGGTTTGTATAGTATATTTGGACACATATTTGTTTTTCATCGGATATATCAAGGCCTAAAAACTTTAATTTAATTTTTTTCCCATTCTTGTTAATAGGGCGAGTAAAAAGTTTGATTTAATTAAAATATAGTAAAAAATGCAATAGAATTTGCGACAGTCATCGCAAAGTCTACTTCTGGTGTGAAGAGCGTCATCGGTAGTACTTCAGCACCTTGGACATGAGAAATAATAATTTTTTGATAGCTATAAGCCCTTAAGCGGGACTATTTTAAAGTTTTTTTATAATCTGTTTATGCCATTGTCTCCTAACGAGCCAATTTCACTATTTTAGATCACCTTCAAATAAACTAGCCTGTTTAAAACATTGAGATATTTATAAACCATTAATAGAAGGCTTTAGAAATGGACTGAGGTTTTCTGTGTTTAAAAATTAACTACATGTCTGCGCGAATCGCCCCATCGAATCGAATCGAATTTCCTCGGTTGAGCTGAATCTCGACGAATAACGACGTTCATTTTTATTATAAAAAAAACAAACTTACTGGCTTAATTATTGTCAAAACTAGTGCGATTAAAAAATTTACCCTTTCCCCATTGTATCATAATCCACAATGTTTTTGACCATCCCACGTAAAATGTGCTTCAATTAAGAACAAGTTTTCCATGGACCGGAAGATGACACACCAGTTACAATCAAGTTACTTTATTACCTTGATATAATACAATGAACATTGTGTCATATATACTTCAAATTAATACCTAATATAAAAATATTAGGCATAATTTCGAATACCAGAAAGATATTCAAAAAAGTTAAAAATTAATATGACGTCATTGTAAGCTGAGTAAATATGTTTTACGAAAAAAATTGCGCATCAAATTATTAACAGACTGTGTTACATTTACTGAACGAATATAATACAAACAGCGGCATACATTACAATAAAAATGTAATGAACATGTGTTTTTATATTGTTAATTTCTGAATATATGACATCTATGTCAATATACGCGGCAGAATTTTCCATGAAATAAAAACTTTGTTATACTAAACTCTCAATTTAGACAAAATATTTTTCTCGACAAAAATATTTGCATCATCAGACTAAGTTCAATGACCGAATAGTTTTAGTTAATGTAACATAATATTGTCTTGAATACATATAATTAGGTTAAATCGTAAGTGTAATACACTAATAATAGCCATAATTTATGTATGTGTGTATAAAACATAATAACCGCATGTCATTCGATCACCGTCACGGTTTAGACTCATTTAACGCTAAGTACGTAACACCGCTAAACAAAATGCGACATTCTTTACAAGCGTACTTATCAAAAAAATTCAATACATTTCAGAAATTTGCATATTAATCAACCCGTATGCCAAAGAAGTGAAATCATTATATTTTAAACTAATAGTGAGTGTAATATTATGTTATATGTTAAAGAATTCCGTATGGAGTTATTATTACGGTAGCGACCGTGTGAGTTCCAATGGCGCAACGTCGTTTACGGAAAGTTTACGGAGAAAGTTATATATATTATTTATGGCCACATTACAAAGCCCTGTCCATGTAGTGTTTGTTTTTTAATAGAAATTGTAGTTTTATTATTGTTTGTAAGCTATAGGTGAATCACTGAATTTATTTTTAGACTTGGTGTTGTCAAAATGTACCATATAATAAATTTAAGTAAAATTATTAGTCATTTTTAAAATCTTTATTATCTAAAGGATCTAACAGAAAAAGATACAATAATTCTTTTATGAGAAATTATAAAATATTATGCTACCTATATAATACTTTTTAGTAAACAATTTATAATAATTAAATATAAGCATAATTAATTTTATTTATTAACTTGTCCTAATAATATTGAATATTAAAATAATTCTAATTTGTTAAAGGAAATATACAAAGTTGTCCATAGTTACCAAAAAATTGATGAAACAAGTATTATGAGAGATGAAAGACTTGTTTCATCATAGTCTTTAAAAAAGCTTATATCGACAGTACAGGGAATAATTGAAAAAACAAATATCTTATAAAAAGGGAATTGATATATATGACTTCTATTGAAGAATAAATAGAATTATATAAATTAATTATTTATATTACAATTCGTACTTAATTTGCCCTCTTTTGTGAAACTAGTAAAAATTTGTTGTTGTCAATGTTGATAATGATTATTTTTTTGCTGTATTTACCCTAAATTCATATTGTCGCACAACACAAAGAGAGTAAACAGTTTTTCTTTAATAATTTTTACCGATATAGTATTAATATAGATTATTGAATGAGAAATTGGAAATACTGTATGTGGCCTGATAACGCAGAATTATAGTAAGCACAAAACATAACAGTTGAGATACAAATTAAAAAGTAATAAAATAAAATTTGAATAGATTTTATAGACTATTAAATTGAGTTAATTTTTACAAACATTTCCTTTTATGACTAGTTAGCATTGACTTTTATTATGTATAAAATTACATAATTTCTTAAATTATTTTGCGATTGCTAGATAAGATATAGTTAATTAGATAAACATTTTTTTTTACAAACGTCCTTAACAAATAAAGGTGAGGAAGTGTTTTTTTCATAATTTTGTGGATTAATTACAGCAAAGTATGCTTAATTAATGTTTTACAGATAAATATTAGTTATAAAAATTATAATGAATTGACAAAATAATATAAACAAGTTATTTATCTTACCTCTTTCACTGTGTCCCTTTTGTGACGAACATCAGGGTCCATGTTTGCATCGAGAGACGGCACTTGATATGTCTTAACCAGGCTATGAGACTGGAGGTGGTCAGGTAAGAGATCTTTGTTCGCAATATTACCGAGTACTGGCTCTTCAATAGCATCCACTGGAGGCTTACTTGGACCTTTCGAGGAAGAAGCTGAAGGTGCAACATCGTATTGAGGTCTCTCCAACACTTTCATGCCCATGTCCTCATCAATTTTAGCACGGAGCCGATTCCTGTCTTCAACTATATGAGGATCATCTCCTTCTTCGCCGTGACGAGCAATACCAACTACAGGAAAATCACCGACTTCGTTCTGAGCGAGAGGTGGAGGCATAAGGAGCTCGGGACCTGCCTTCTGTATGCGTTTGTATACATTATAAACACTATCGTTTACACTCGTAGAAGTTTTAAACTCTGGCAAATAAAACAGTGCGCCAAGCCACACAATTCCAAATGTGAAAAGTACAGATATAATCAAATATTTTTCACGAAGACGAAAAGAACGTCGAGATATGGACGGCACGGGTACTCCATTAACAAAGCGTTGGTAGTTGGGCAAAATTCCCGTCATATTTACTAAACACGATTTCGACTAATGTTCTATATAACAACTAAAGTCAATTTTAAGTTGACGACCCGTCATCTGCGGTCGCCATTAAAGAACTAAATTCGGAATCGCCAAATGCCAGTGCGACATCAGACGTGTGTAAATTTCAGTGTTGCTACCTAAAACTCTAGCAACATATAATGACGTTTACACGTCAACATGTCAGAAAATTATAATTATACTCATACGTTCTTAAATTATTTGGAAATGTAGAACTGCACAAATGTAGTAACTGCTCTTAAAAATAACACTAAATGTAAATTTTGTACGAGATGTGTTATATTTTATATATTTAGTTTACTGTTTAACTGTAAAGTAAACTCAATTCACTTTGTAATAACTGTCCTATTCAGATATTTTTTTAAATTGCATTTGTTGATAAATGTTTTCCTTTATATTATTTTTGTTGTAAAACGTCGATTCTTGAACATAAATTATATTTTATTCACAATTTTTTTTTATTCAGACAAAAACACTGAGAAAACAGGTAAGAATTTGTAAAAATAATATTTTTAAGATATTGGACTAAAGTAAAGGAAGTTTTGCAATATGTGTCATTAATGTCAATGTCATTTAAACACCATATTCCTTGATTCGTGGGAAAGAATACGTCTTTGACAGAGATTCTGTGTTCATTTTCTCAGTTTTGGCTGGAGATAACTCTTCATACAATATTATTGTGAATTAAATGAAAGGATGAAAAAGAAGGTGGCATACTTCTTCTTTTACAAATATCTAAAAACATTTCCCCCCCCCCCCCCCCCTTTTGTACCATCCATCTTACTTTTATCATACAGTGTTTAAAATTTGATTGATGAATAAGTACATTTTAAATGTTTGGCAATTTTTAAATTGAATAAAATATAAATAATATAGTATTATAGTATTTACTGAAAAAAAACTGCTTTTCGGATTTAATACAATTAATTATGTTTATGTTAATTAAAACTGATGTTACTTTAATTGCTTTAAAGCAATCGAGAAGATGCAACTGCAAGTGTCTGTGTCAGGCGTCAGCTAAAAAAATTGATATCTTGAGAAATCAAGAACTTGGAAAAGTTATAAAATTTAATTTTATTAGTTATAAATAATATGAAGCTTCATTTAATATTTATATTTAAACATCGATGTACTAATAGTTTAGTTCTAAGAAGTCTAAATGTTTTTGAAAATCTCTACCGTCATATTAAGTTTTGTTAATATGTTTGCAATAAAATTGTACCATAATTTGATTTAAGAACTATGTTGCAGTCAAATTATCAAATTGATATCGATTCATTCCCAGATGTCGTACAACAAAAGAAATTGTAGAAAAAATACCCTTTATTTAAAAATGTAAGCTTTGGAACCTTTGGAAATGTAAGCTTTGGAACCTTTGTCCTACCTTATTATGAAGAGATAAGATTTATTATTATAGTTGTAACTTTTTAAAATAAAACCCAAAAAAAGTCTAAGAACGAAAGTATTATCTTTTTTATGCTTCTGCCACCAGACAACCTTATCAGTGAGACATTTCTTTTACTCCAGAACTTGAACTACATTTTTCAAAAAACAAAAACCTTCGCCTTGGAAATGCTGTTTTATTACTTTTGTGATAAATTTTACGTGATTATTTATTAAATGAATACCTGTAACATTTTATAATTTTGTTATAGAAGTCCTTTTAAAACAGATATAATATATGTTAAAAAAGTTAAAATTTAAGTATGTTTATTATAAAATTAATTTTGATACCTTTTCGTATCTTTTCTTGATTCTTCTATATATTCTTCTAACTTCTTAATATTTATATGAATTCTAATGACACTACAATCTAAATAGCTCTTACAATTTCAGCTTTAAATAAATATTAAAAAGACAGTCCAAAAAATGAAAGGACATTAATTTTTAATCATTCATATATTTAGGTATATCATTAAAAATTATGATTCTCGTTATCTATAATTACGGCACTTAATAATTTAAAGTACATGATTCGATATTCTCACATGAGATCAGTCTTATATTAAATTTATACAATATTTATAAAATACCTAACCTAATGGAATCTCGTTAATGTTTCGGTTTAATGTATAGTGGTCGTGTCTCTGCCCTGCTATGATCTAGGTTTGAACCTTGACATGTAAAAGTCACAATCTGGACAGTAAATGGCGGGGGGGTTGACGGTTTTCTTGCGACAGAGGTTGCAAGGCGTCTTATGACTTGTCATTGATGGATTCGTTTGGTTTTCTGTTTGATAGTTGCCGTTCATCTGTGAGGGGATAGGAGAATCCGTTCCTCCTTTCGTCCCAGGTTCAAAGGACACAGATTTCTTCTGTATTTGTTTCGGTTGTACCAGATGTTGGTAGGGATTGTAGCCGTTTTGATATTGGTACTGCTCGTTATTAACATTATCTAGACCGGTTTCGTAAGGTCTCTGTTGTGAGTTCGCGTAATGCCTTCCATCAGGTGTGCGACTGTTGTCGTATCGATTGTTGATTATTTTCTGGTAGTCACTGTTGTATTCTTCTCCGACCTCTCCGTGTGGAGGCGGCACCCTTTGATACGGCGAGTGATTGATTGAACTATTAACTTGGGGATAACGAATAGAGTAATCGGTGTTAACGTAATTCGTCGGTGGGTTGTGATAGCTTTGGTAAGCCGGTGAGTTTGCTGGCACACTTTGATACGGCCTGTTGTTATCGTTTTGTGTGAACTGTCGTTTTTGATACATTCCTTGAAGCTGATTTGTCGCAGGATGTTGAGGCAGTCTATGATAGTTGCCATTCGGATTGCTTGTTTGTATGGAAGCAGGTTGTTGTTGGTATGTATTGCATGGTCTTTGCAATTGTTTTGTCGCGTAAAGCTGATTGTGCGATGTAGGGGTCATTCTATTCGCAGGATTTTGACTATAATTCGGTGAGTTTGAGTTATTTTGGTTAGGATACGCTGCTGGTGGGTGGTTGTATGGTATCGGATTATTATTTAGAGGATTATTGGTTGGCACGGCTATGTATATTTGATTGTTATTTTGTATGTTAGAATTTTGATTATTTACCGGTGGAGAATTTGTGTTTTGTGTTGGAATATTTTTCTGCGTATTGTATTGTGGTTGTGATCTCGTTTGAGTTTGGTAAGTTGGGTATGGGTTTTGGATCCTATAGTAATCGACATGTCCATTATCAGTCTGCCTATAAGATGCTTGTGATACAGAAGATATAGTAGATCTTGAAGACTGGCTGTCAAATGAGTCTGTCCGTTGTAGAGAGTTCTTTTCGGTCTGCAAAGGTACTGTGGTGAGTTCTGGCTTGTTCATCGCAGATTTCAAGACTCTTTCTAAAATAGGATTCGGTATATAACTGTCATCTTCTTGATCCTCAGCTGTAGCGACCAATATCACTTGGTCACAAAAAGATACAGATTTCTTCTTGGGTTTTGATTTCTGGTCATTATATTCTTCTTCCATTTGCTTTGGATCAATAGAAGATGATGATGAGCGTCGATTGTACATTCTGTTGTTTGATTGATTTGAACAATTTATAACATCCCGACTGCCAGACATACCCATATACCCACTATGGTTCCGTTCACTTTCATTGCTCACATTATGCACATTATTTTCGAATCTTGAAGCCATATTTCTGACATTTCTGATAGCGTCTGCATTTTGAGTATAAATTTCCTGGTTATTGGACAGTTGACCTTCAAGTGAACCCGATCTTTTAAGCTTAAGTACAGCTTGTTTCGCTTGTAACTCTCTAAGCCAATTGTCATCAGATGTACCAATGTTTTCTAACTGATTTTGTTTCATGTTAGTCTCCTGTTTGAAAATTTGATTCCGTTTCTCTTGTAATTCAGCTAATAGTGAACTCTTTGGAGTTTCTGACTCGTTATTATTAAAATTGTTAATGTAACCATTGATGTTGTCATTATTCTTTTGATACTCAATTTTATGTAGTTCTTCTTGTAGTGGTGTTAAATCTATTGGTTCTGGTGGTGGTGGGAACTCCTCACTTTGCTGTCTAGAATGATTAACTGAATTCAAAGGACTCGGGTAGGGTGGTAGGTCGAACATCTGCGGCGATCTTCGCATGAGCATACCACAGTCCACCACGTCGACGCCATTATCGAATACATTAGTATACGTCAAGTTATGCACGTTACTGTGGGATGGAGGTATATTCAAAACATTTTCTCTTTTTACTGGACTTTGTTCGTGGTGAATCATAGCTTTGGTAACGACAGTTTGAAAGTTTTGAGACGTGTTAGGTGAGTCGTCCAATCTGTTGTTGTTGTAATGAATCACTTGATTGTCATCATAAGGTAACGGTAGAAAAGGTAGAGATCGTGGTTCATCACCAAATTGTTCAGAGAATCCGCCGTCTTCTTCATTTTCGTGTGTGCTGTACGAATATTCTTTATCGGTTTGCAAAATTTGTTTTGCTGGTGTATAAATGTTTTGCTTCATTCCGTCTTCCTCGAACTTAGTCCCGCTAAGCTGAGAAGTGGTTCGCAGTGGTGGTGGCGGAGGTACTTTAGCTGCTGTCAATATTTTTCCAGCGCTACCATGAAAGCTCTTTCTCATAAGTTTACTTCTTTCTAAGTTGGGGTTGGTGCCACTTCCCGCTGAATATTCCAGATGTCCCTCAGACAAGTAACCGCTTAGATTTGTTTTGTCTTCACTCTTTTTCCTGCCAACATCCGCATCGTCAACAGATACAATACGGATTTCTTTGTTTTTAGTATCGCTTTTTCCATCAGCTCCTTCGGTTAAATCTGGCATTGATCGATTCTTTCTTCTTATTAAACCACCCATTAATTTTCTTCTTATTTTGTGTTGCTTTTTATTGGCCTTTTTATCTTCGACGGGTTCTTCTTTCTTTTCCACTACAACCACAGCGTCTTTTCTTGCACGACACCTTTCTTCACTTCTTGAACGTTTTTCTCGTACTTTTTCTTCTTCACGTGATTTATATCGAGGCGGTCGTTCTCTTGGCATCGTTTCCAAGTCATCGTCAATAACAGGTTTAGGTGATTTCTTTGATCCCTTCTTTTTAGGTAGAGTAGCATAAATTTCTATCGTTGTCGGGGAGTTTTCCAGGCCTCCTTTTGTGTTTCTCACTGGCGCTGATTGTGGTATTTCAGTCGCTCTTATCATCCCCGCCATACGTCGCTGAAGACTTCGTGCTCGCATCACACAAGTGTTATGTTTCATTCGAGCAAACGTCATTGTGTGGGGATTATTGTACGGAGCGTCCATTGCAGCCCGTGCTTTGGATGCTGCTGTGTCACATAGCGCTAGAGCATTTTCGTACTCCCCCGCATCTTCAACATGGCGAGATTTTTCTAGTAATCTATCAGCTTCTAAACATAGAGCTTCACAATCACCCCGCGTTGTCAATTCAGGTATTTGTGCTAATTGTAGGTTATGACGGAGGCCTTGTTGTAAGGAAACGCTATCAGTTGATGATAAGGAATACGAATCATAACCAGCGTCACATGATCCGCCGCTCGAAAGTTCTCCCTTTCGAGTCGGACTACTGGGTATACTGCCCGAGCCTCGCCCGCGAGTGAACATGTAAGGACTCTCATTATTAGATGAAGTCGATGACGCGCTATTTCTATCTCCGCTCCAATTTCCCGAGTCACGTCTAGATCGAGGTCGTTCTTGGGTATCTGATGCTGAACTCGCACTTAAACTTCTACCTAATTGTGCTCGTCTACTAGCTTGGACCTCAAACATATTCTCAACAGCTTTTCTGTTCACGTAATCGCTGTCGTTATCCGGGCCAGGTGTAACAGCTCGTCTAGCGTATGCGGCTGCAGGTCTTTCCGGAGCTGGAGTGACAGCCCTACGAGGTTCAGGCGCTGGAAACGGCACTACATCCTTAGGAGCGTGTCGTGTATCACACGGTGTCCCATCTATAGCAGCATATAGAAGCAGAAGCGGTTGAAATCTGCCTCGTCTACACTTTTCAACAACCTGACACCATTCCGGTCCAACTTCTTTGACGTCGGCGTCATCGAAGTATATCCAGAGTCGCAATTTGCTGTGGTAGAAGAATGTGGAGTAATGTTTTCCGTAATATGTGACGAGTCCTACTAGGCGATGTGTGGCGCGCGCGGCCCAGGCTCGGTCAACGCAAGCGTGGAATGCGTCTGTGGGTCTTAGTTCAGTACCGAGTGCTGCATACACACTCGAAACTTGCTCGGCCGATGGACGATCGGAATCCCAAACCATACCGATAGAAACCACTTCAGGACGATTCATTAATGTACGGCAGATCTGGATTTTTGCACCGCAGGCGTTCTGAAAATATTTTTATTGATTAGCAACCTATATTAGAATCCTTCAGTATAGAACTCAATGAATGTAGGATGTTTTGTAATATAACGTACGGGACAATCTCGCACGTCCCCCATTCCTCCGGCCTTCCTCAGAAGGGTTCCAAAGCTATCGCCAACTTCTCCCAGGGCAGCTTGAGCGGTGAGAGCTGTCGCTGATACGTAGTGCACCATCTGAATATCATCAATTAATACTTTTATATGTATAATAATCCAGAGACACTTTAATGAAAGATTAGGTATCTAATGTATTTTTCTTTTTAAACAACGGATTCGTAGTGTTTGACACAATACATCCAAACAACTATACCTACATATATTATCATCGAATAGAGAACAGTCTTTCATAGAGTAGAAGTTAAATTTCAACAAATTATAATGTATTATTAATAGTCAACTTACCTGAGTGAAAGGTAACGGTTCGGAGGTGGCTTGGCAGGCCCCACAGACTGATTGTTCGACGAGCATCATAGCGAACTTCCTGTGGGGCACGCAGTGTGGTACTCTGCAGGCGTCATCCTCTCTCTTATCGCCAGTACCGGCCGCGACATGTGCGTGTACCCTCAGAAGGAGATGCTCGAAGCACTCGCTGGCGTCCGCCATACAACCAAGTTGAAAACGAGCTCCCCCGCCGCCCAAGGCCCTCCGGAGCCCATCGGCAGCCGGCGCGCGCTCTGCAGACCATTGTAACTGGGCAAACAGCTCCTGAAATTACAATAACACGTACTCAGCATATCAAATTCAGACAAGATATAATGTTGAAACAATGAGTACAAGGTAATTTAACTCGTATGTCTATATGGGTAAATTTCAATGTCGCTCGTCATTCGAGGAGATCGCTCCAAAACCAGTATGACACGAATATGAGAGGTCAGAGGCACGCGCCGTGACCCGCTACGACTGGCGACGTAAAAATACTATAAAGTTTTGTTTTGTCTTTAATTAGTTGTTTGTTTTAGCATCGTCATGTTTAACTTTTAGAATATAATTTGATCGAATGTTAAGATATATAAATATCAACATTAGGGGCCATCCATAAAGTACGTCACACGTAAAGGGGGTGGGAGGGGGTCGACAAAGTGTGACATGGTGTGACAAGGGGTGGGAGGGGTCCTAAGTTTCGTGACATCACATTTCAAAATCTAGAGCTACTAATCGCGTAATTTGAAATATTAATTAAAATCCTTAAAACTGAGCGCGTCATCACATGAATTACTATCAATATTTAAGGAGAATACTCGGTACATGATTCTCATTCGAATTATGTAAAAAAAAGGTACTTAATTATTGACTAAATTTCCGTATAAATAAATAAAGTTCACGTTCCAAGTGTTCCAAGTGTGGACGCGTGCTAGCGGCGTGCTGATACAACACCACGCCGCCAAACGCGCGTGTGTGTGTGTATACCTAATCTGTAGACTGTTCACACGATGCGTAATGAATTACATAACTTTTGGTTAACTTTACTTAGAAGTTTATTAATATTTATGTTATATTAATTTTTATTTTGTCATATATAATCGTCAAATATCACGTCCTCAAGTATCGATAGTAATTCACCAGTCACCCTGTATATATTCATTAGTTTATTTATTATTTCAAATATTTGATACTATGTTGATTTCTTAAAAAAGTACTTATTTTAAATGGAAATAAAACTAATTTCGGAACTGCAGTTTTAATTTAATAATTTTTCGATGTTAAATTGCAAAACATGTGACGTCACACTAGGGAGGGGGGGGGTCTCAGAAATGTGACCACCTGTGACAAGGACGGGGGAGGGCTCAAAAACTCATGAAATTAGTGTGACGTATTTTATGGATGGCCCCTTATTTGTTTTAAATTCAAAATTTAAACTAACAAAATCATTCATCTTTTCCCGCCCAGCTTAATTTTAAGGCCTAAATGGGTGTTATCCGGTCAAGTAGGACGGAAGAAACGCATCGTGCCTTCCGTTGCACACCGATGCATCGTGATTATAATAAAAGCTGTTTATTATACAAAAATATATATCAATATTTTAATAATTCATCGAGTTGGATGCTTCATTTGATTGTGTACGAGAACCAGCGTACGGAACTAAAGTATGAATTAAACCATTTGTGGTTAAAGAGAGGTGAGAAGTCGGCTACTTCTTCTATTGTTCCGTGAGAATGAAGCGCTCCCAGACCCTACTACTTGATTGCTTCCCAGCTTTATACGTTTGAAATTACTGATGCCACATAGATAATATAGGTTTCAAATAGTTAGGGAGAGATAATTTCAATTCAATTTGCATTTGAGCATCTCCAAAGGAGTATCATCGTCTTTGACTTACATAAAATGATATATTAAGAATAAAACAACGTAGAAAGGTAAATTAATATGAATATGGTTGTTATGCAAAACACGACCATTCGTTACTCACACAAAGATAGCTGTCCCTGTCTTATCTTTCCTAAAGAATACTAACAAATTCGGCGCACATCCTATGAGTTGTGGCTGAATATGAATACGGGCTTTGTTTTAAATATTCTTTAAATAAATTGTCTTTTAAAGGCTTTGACACAATGGGCTCTAAAATATTAGAACAATACATCGTATGTTTTTACAAAGAAAACTGTACTAACCCAATAATATACATACATATGTATGTTAACATTAAGTCGATAAATTTACTCGTTACATTGTATTTTTTTCTTATATAATCATTTAATTTTCTTTATAGCTTAATGATAATATAATAGTTATAATAAATGTCTTATAATTAATTAAACATAAATGTTTAAAGAGAAGGGGAGTTGTTAAATAATAATTAGACACGATCTAGTTGTTAGTTAAATCCATTCTGTGAAATGTGTCTTATTCAAGATACAGTTTGCATAAAGTTAAATACTTAATACCTATGTTTAAATGTAAATTATATTAACAACATGGAATCAGTTTCCACGATCGCATGTATATTAATTGTTAAATATTCAAAAGAATATAATTAAAATTCATTTAGATTTAAATATTCAGTCAGCAGACTTACTCTGAAGAGTGATAGGGTAGTTGGGCTCAATAGAGTTTCGGGTGAGTCTCGATTAGCAGCGGACGGCGGGCGGGAGCGAGGAAGAGTATTGTGTCTTACTCCAGCGAGAGAACCTCCTATTAAATCTTTAGGAGGCAACAGTTCTCTGTCCTTCAAACCTTCAATCTTCTGCTTCTGTATCGCCGTCCCCCCTTTTCCAGCATCGCTGGTCTCCTTCCGTTTATATCGAAACTTAATCATCATCAACTAGTCCTCATCGCTTGCACTACACACACACACTTATTTCTCGTCTTGCGAATTAATGATATTCGACACCTCATTTAGATTCAACCTCCATACTTTTCGTGATCGAAGACAATAGACGCGCGCTAAATATACATGTCTATCAAACGGTGTGTCCGCAAACAACTTCGTAAAAGGCAATAAGTAAACTAAACACGCGCAACTAAGAAACTTCTCATTACGATTCCACTTCGCCTCTAACTTACGCTGAGTTATGTCCCACACTGAGTTTTATTACTCGCGCCTATGTTGATATAAAATAAAAACTATTTCGGCGGGAAGACAGCGATGGTTCAATAGAGCGGCAGGTGGTCAAAAGTGAGAAGTTACCGGCCAGCTAATGACTTACGTCACTATACAAGTTTGGTTTCAATTACACCGGCACGAATTGGTACTAATAAAACGACTTCATTGTTTCTATAAACATAACTATATAAGGCTGCGATGCGAACGTATTCGTGTAGGCTTTCTATCAGACTGGCTCGAGTAGAGACTTGGTTGTGGCGCGGGGGCGGGAAACCCGAGTCTACCTTCCAGGTAGGTTTCGCTTTTTTGTTATCTATTGTTAAACCTCACGTGGGTTTAACGTCGTCTCTCTCTAACTAACGTAAATAAATATTCAGAACAACTCTATTATTGATGACAAAGGTCTCACTCTTTGTGTGTCTTTCTATACTGTTTCCTAAAATTTTACTTAAGTCAATTTATAGTTATCCGTCAAAGACTTTCAAGATAAACTAACTTCATGATAAGGATTATGAATCCGTAGATAATGAATAATTCTATAATGCCATAATAGAATAAAAATTTTATAGTTTATAAATAAATATTGATTCTATTTTAACAAAAATAAATAACTTAGCTTCTAAGAAAGGTAACAGTTACGTAAGTGAAAAATTAATCATTGATAAACTTTATAATTAAATATAAAAGTATGAGTCACGTGTTTGAAATTCAATGGAAAGGCTATAAAAACAATTTGTCAAATACATCATCACCTTTGATGTGGGTCAACAATGTTAACTAGGGTGAAAATAAAAACATAACAACTCCCTTATAAAATGAAGTGTTACTTGTTTATTGGGATGTATTTTGTATGAGTCAGACTGAAAGTATGTTTAAGTCATAAGGTAACTTGTGGTCAGCTTCCCAGCTACAACGTTATTAACTTTTAAATCCCATAAACCTCTCAAGAATAAATAATCGCCTCTTTGTCTTGATGATAAAAATATTCAAGTTTAACTCTCGAATCATATGAAACTTATTAATCATGTACATATATGAAGGTCTTTTATCCAATATCAGTTATTTTAAATGTATTGTTATTTAAAATATATTTCGCTGTATTATCTAACTGAATTGCATAACAAATTTCACAGTGTCGAGATGTTTAGTTAAGGAAAGCTTTATTGGTTGGTTGTTACGTAAACAGTAATAAGACATGGGTCTCAACATCGTCTGTCTATGATAAGCAGAACGGAAACTAAGTAACTGTCTGGTGATTTTAAATGAGGTCGATATTTTAATGGTATTGTAATTAGTAGATTAGTTTCTTTCTTTACGCAAATGTCGTGTTTGATGACGAATATTCTGTTATACAAGAGTTTGTGTGACCATTTAAAGAAGTCTTAATGTCCTGCCCACACAGGGGGATGTCCAAAAACACATTGAAATTACTATTAAATTTAATAAGAAAAACTTTACATTTAATATTGAAAAATAGAAGTATATGTGATATGATATATTTATTGCCAATGAAGCGAGGCAACCGTGGGACAATTCTCATGTAGTGATAGCGATCCAGTTACTTACGTGTGATGTGAGAATTTAATAATTACATATAAGAAAATTATATACATTATCGAAAGTTCTATTAGTCCCTGCCTAAAAACATTATATATACTAAGTTTGTATGTTTGTGTCTTTTATACTACATTTCATTTTATTCAAAAACTGCTGGAACGAAAAATTATCCTTTTAATTTTTTTTAAGTAATAAATATTAAATAGTAATATAAAGTGTGTAAAGCAAGGATTTTGTCGCGTGAACACCAATTAATTCTTGTATTTCCCAAGCTCTACTGACGCTACTTTAGATTCTGACAAATTATAACATTTTTCATAAACATGATAATAAAGTTAAGTGCTCAAACGTAATCATATAACCATAATATAATTTAAAATGGAAATCTTCTTAAGGAAAACTCAACTCACTTATGGGTATAAAATAAAGTCTTTCCTTAAGATACATTCTGCGTATGGCGTCATCGGTTCGGAGAATACAGCCTCATTCATAGGCGGATTTGGGCGGCGTTAATCATACCAAATAACAGAGGTTCGGATATTCATAAATACTTTAAATTGCTTCTCATATCCGAATAGCAAACCTTAAAACAATATCTAATTGATAA